TCTGTCCGTCCGTCTGTCCGTCCGTCTGTCCGTCCGTCTGTCCGTCCGTCTGTCCGTCTGCCGTCCCGGATTTTTATTAGACAGATAATCTCCGAAAGTACTCGACCGATTGTTGTGAAATTTTGTACTTATATTAAGAATATCATGTAGATGGTAAAACGCTAACCAAAATTTGTCTAATCATCCCCACCACTAATGCGATGACGTCACTTCAAAATTGTACATAGTAAATGGGTTTTCAATTGTATAAAATAACATAGTCCTACACATGTAGTTTACAACTCTGAATCGACTTTTCACCCGAAACGTCCAGATTTTTGGAAAAAAAATCAAAATTATAAAACAACATTTTGAAATTTAATTTTTAATCTGCTAACCAGAATGCTTTGAAATGTTGCAGATGTTTTAAGGCTATAAAGAGCATCATAAATCTTTAGTCAAAAAATATTTGCTTATCCCCTCCAAAAACTTGATGACGTCAGCTCAAAAGTTTGTGGAATAAATGATATCTAAAATGTACAAAATATGATGAGTCTGTACTTGTGATCTATCACTCCATTCATATTTTTTGGATTTGCATATACAGGGTGACTCAAAAAAATTAATGAATGCGTAAATTTATTTTACTGATTTACTCAGAAACTACAAAACCGAACGCTTTGAAATCTTGCAGACGTTTTAAGGTTATAAAGAGCATAATAAATGTTTAGTCAAAATATATTTGCTTATCCCCTCCAAAAACTTGATGACGTCAGCTCGAAAGTTTGCCGAATAAATCATATCTAAAATGTACAAAATATGATGAGTCTGTACTTGTCATTTATCACTCCATTCATATTTTTTGGACTTGCATATACAGAGTGACTCAAAAAAATTAATGAATGCGTAAATATATTTTATTGATTTAATCAGGAACTACAAAACGGAATGCTCTGACATCTTGCAGATGTTTTAAGGTTATGAAGAGCATAATAAATGTTTAATCAAAATATATTTGCTTATCCCCTCCAAAAACTTGATGACGTCAGCTCGAAAATTTGCCGAATAAATCATATCTAAAATGTATTAAATATGATTAGTTTGTACTTGTGATCTATCACTCCATTCATATTTTTTGGATTTGCATATACAGGGTGATTCAAGAAAATAAATGAAAGCGTAAATTTATTTTACTGATTTACTCAGGAACTACAAAACCGAATGCCTCGAAATCTTGAAGATATTTTAAAATTATCATAAGCATGGTAAATTTTTGATCAAAATGTATTTGGTCGTCCCCCCTAAAAAATTTATGACGTCACCACAAAATTTTGCTGAATAGATCCTATATAAAATGTACAAAATATGGTGAATCTCTTCTTGTGATTTATCATTCTATTCAAATTTTTTCGATTTGCATATACAGGGTGACTCAAAAAAATTAATGAATGGGTAAATTTATTTTATTGATTTAATCAGGAACTACAAAACCGAATGCTTTAAAATCTTGCAGATGTTTTAAGGTTATAAAGAGCATAATAAATTTTTAGTCAAAATATATTTGGTTATCTTCTACAAAAAACTGATGACGTCAGCTCAAAAGTTTGCCGAATAAATCGTATCTAAAATGTACAAAATATGATGAGTCTGTACTTGTGATTTATCATTCCATTCATATTTTTGGATTTGCATATGCAGGGTGACTCAAAAAAATTAATGAAGGCGTGAATTTAATTTATCGATTTAATCAGGAATTACAAAACCGAATGCTTTGAAATCTTGGGAATATTTTAAAGTTATTATAAGCATGGTAAACTTTTGTTCAAAATGTATTTGTTCATCCCTCCTAAAAAAATTGATGACGTCACCCTTAAATTTTGCTGAATAAATCCTATCTAAAATGCAAAAAATATGATGAGTTTGTACTTGTGATTTATCATTCCATTCATATTTTTTAGATTTTCTTAAGAGGTGGTTCAAAAAAACTAATGAAGTCAATTTATTTTATTGATTAAATTAAAGGTAACACTTATTATTAGTATTACACCCCAACCAACCCAATTTGGTAGACACAAAATTTGTTAAAGGAAAAACTCGGTTGAAACATAAGGGTAGCACGCTTATTTACATCGACTTTAACATTACAGACCTGCATTTGTTTTATGCGCTCACTTGGTTCCGCGAATGTGAAATAGACATGTTTATAATCAACCAATTGTGAATTTCACCGTCAAGAATTAAAATAAAACCCAATGTTTTATATAATAAGCGGAAGTCGAAGCAATAAAACCGATGGTCGTTTTGTTTACAGTTTCTCTGTTTGACTCTCACGTATGCTGTTACGCTTGTCATCTTAAATTAAGAATGTTTATACATAAACGATTTTCAGTTGCCTTTCATATTACTAGACAGCGGATTTTTGTCGGGCTACGTCACGATTATAGGTGGGGACGCGCTGGATCGCCGGGACTCAGTAGCGGGTGATAGATAATCACTGAATTTAATCAGTACTAATTCCATAAATATAATTAACGATTTATTAATCAAACGGCTAAGTAAATGAGAACGGGAATTAACAGCAGAGTGCAACGAAACAGCGTTATTCTAATCTCAAATAAACGAAGTGCAGTCCGCAACCGCAATGAATTCGCATCCCGTACCAGCCGTACCGACTTTGGCCTTGCCTAGCCCGACAGAAATCCGCTCTCTAGATATTACACACCGGCGCCGTATACGTGAGTAAATTGTTTCGTTATTTTATTGATTATAAGAAATCAATATTCAAAACGACCCAATTCATTTTCCCGAAGATTTGGGAATACAATAATTTTATTCTTAGTATTACACTACATCTATCCCAACTGATGTACGTGTTCTTGCAAAAATGTTGATGACGTCATCACAATTTTTTTTTAAATTCCCACTACAAAAATGTAATGAGAAAAAAAACACAATAGGCATGCAGTAGTCAAGTTTCCGACAGCGAGGGAAGTACTGTCTAAACTCTTTAGACCAATTTTTTTCTTTTGTTAAAGTTTTATAGCTCTTTATAACTTGCACACGACCACAAAAGCTTAGGCTTTGGTCGTGTACTTTTGTATTAATATAATATAATAATAATAATATACAACTTTGAATTTTTTTCCAAAAATTTGGATGTCTAGGGTCAAAATTCGACACGGATTTACACACCACAGGTGTAGGACTATCTTATTTTATGAAATTTAAAAAACTTACTAGTATGACTTTTGGAGATGACGTTTACCCATTGATGTTGGGGCAAACTTTAGTTAGCGTTTAACTATCTACATGATAGTCCTAATATATATACCTACATACCGAATTTGACAACTATCGGTCTGGTAGTTTCGGAGATTACTTGTCTAATAAAAATGGATACAGATAGAGAGACAGACAGAAACGGGAGACTACTTTTTTCGTATTCTAGAGGTCATGACATGTCGAGAAAATATGAAAGTAGCAATTTGGCCAATGGACTCGATTACTATACTTCCTTAGCCTACGCTCGGGAAGTAATAAAGACGTGTATGTAGTTTTAAAGTAGAGGTCAATCAGCATGCTATCGTGAGGATGTTTCAAGTAAATTTTTCAATGACAAAATTTTGTAATGACGTCCTGGACATTTTTGAACACGTATACCAATGTGGATTAGTGCAGTGTGTAATAATAATAGTATTATAGACCTAAATTATAATTAGTTAGTAGGATTATCTGTCCAATAAAAATCGACACGGACAGACAACAGATGACAGATAGATAGACAGACAGACAGATGGAAAGGGAATACCTGTTTATTCATATTCTAGGGGTCATGAAACAATGCAACAATACAAATGCAAGTACAATAATTCCTTAGCATACGCTCGGGAAGGAAAAACGGAATTCAAACTACATATACAAAATCTATTGTTTTTAAAGATAAAATCAACTGTGATCAAATTTAATTATTTATTACACGTTTTACAGTCAGAAAATTATTTCAAAATATTTACTCTAGTGTCGTTATTGTTCCAATTCCTTATTCTTTTTTTTTGATAGAATGATTGAAAATTGTGTGATCGACGCCTGAACGACGAACCAACCACTCCTGTTGATTAGGACATACGGTGACTTAATACGACTTACTAACGCGGACTGTTCACATGAACACTTATATTAAATATTTACTACAGTCCTTGCCTGTCATCTGTCATTGTCGAGATTAGTAAAGAAGTCACGAGAGCATTCAATTTAATTTTGGTTTGACATTATTAAGAAGACCAGTGATTCTATGGTTGTGCTAAGATTTGCTTTGTTACTGAAAAATGTGAAGTGACAACGTTGATAACAATAACCTTTTATTAAATATCATTTATTAACATTACACGCAATTCGTCCCTTCTAAACTTAACAAGCCATATACAGATGTCCATATAAGTGCAAAATTAAATACATACTCAAGAGATAATCATTTTACGTGTCTCATGCTCAAATCAAGGCCAATTTCAACTGCTTGAAATACTAGATACTCCATAATATCAAATCCTATTTAGCCCTGTAAAAATGACAATTCTGTGTAGTTCTTTCGTAGACAGCAGCTTTGTTAATCAGAAGAAGAAAAAGATTTAAGATATTACATTCTGAAAATGTACTGAAAATTCCATGCACCAAACGCAGCGACTGCCTTAAGGATGAAATGAGACAGAAAACTGTTGAAATACTTTTTAGAACTAAATAAATTATGTACTACTTAATATTGACATTAATCATTTTTAAGTCTAGCAAAAACTAATATATAGATTCAGGAGGAGCGTATATTTTAAATAAGAGCGGTATTCGAAAAGCGGAAAACGCTTCCGATTACACTGTTCTATATTACATATTATACAAATTTTTAAACTTGGCTCTGATCGTATGCAGTTAAAAATTTTAGAAAAAAAATTACAAGAATACGTTCTGTGACATGTATAAGTAATTTTGTAAAATTCAAGAGTTGCTAATACAACAAAAACAAATATACATATAATGAGGGCGTTTATTTAATACTTATCTTATTTTGTACAATTGGGGATAAAATTTCAAAAAATTATAAAGCGTCAATTTCATGCATATGAATTACAATGTCGCGTACCCTTTGTTTGAAAAGAGCTCTGTCAAAATTAAATTCGTCAAAATCATTTTCATTAACTTTATCCCCTTCCTTTTGACTATCGGCAGCTTCGATCATTTTTATAGAATCCTCTTTACTTATCAGCTTAACCTTCGTTAACATGGTTGATAACATCATTCCAAAGTGTGAATATTTCTTCCAGTCTTCGCTTAGCATTTGCCTTGGTAATAACTCGTTTGGATCGCAACCTACCTCACTCGCAAATTTAGAAAAACTTTCGTGGTAAATATCCAAATATTCTTCCAATTTGTCGAATAATTTTTTACAGCCACTTGTATAGAAGAAATATGACAAATCGTGAACAGGAGTCGAAGCAACTACTAGCTGAAAATCCAGCAACTTCATGGATTCAACTTCAGTGAGAATCTCAGGATTCTGAAATTAATTAACATTATATATTTCATAAAGAAAAATAATAATTAACGTAGTTAGATCATTTACCTGATACTTGAACATCATGTTATTAGACCAACAGTCACCATGAAGTATTCCGGAGTATTGACCCTTGTAGTCACAACTTTCCAAAAATATTTCTTTGGAGTTATCAACGTACTTTCTAAATTTTTCTAAAACAACACCGTCTTCGTCGGGTTTCAAAGCGTCTTGTGTGTCCTTTAGGCAAGCTTTCAAGAAAATCAAAAAACCTTCTTTTTCACCAAAATTTTTCCAAATAGGGTGCAATGGAGTAGTTAGTCTAGCAAATTCTTCTGGTTTTTTGTTTTTCAAACAGAAAGATAAAGCGTGGTAATGCCCATAAGTTTTAAATATCAATTTAGCATGTTCGTCATCTAACAGTAAATCTTTTTCTCGCAAAATGTATCCCTTCTTTGTTATGTCCTCAAAAACTATTATCTCGCTTCCAATCTGGCTGCTGCTTGTGAAATACCTTGCTATAGAATCGAAGGGTTTTGATACATGCTGTTCTTGCTCAAATTGTCTAAAAGCAGGAACAATTTCCGAGTAGAAGAAAATTTCATTTTGATACACCATATCTATTGAATTTTCTTCTCGCCACTTCTTTACCACGGGGGCTTTCTTAATCGCTAAGTAATATGTGGAATTACTTTCGTCATCCTTAACAGACACTTTGTAAAATTCACCCAAAAAACCATCTCCCTTAAGTGCGTTTAAGTTCAAATCAATAGTAAATTTACTTAGATTCAATTTTTTAGTGGTGTCAGTAACGACACTTCTAAGTAGTTCTTCAACATCGTTTGCACCAGACATGTTAATTTTATCACTGAGATCACTTAGGTTGGAATAATTTTTGTTAAAATGAAGTCAGGTAACATTTTTTACTTTTATAAGTAACATACAAAAACTTATCTAATCTTGAAAAGCTTTATCGATATTATCACCTCTTAAACGCACAGCTATTGTTGGAAACCAATTGTTACCTGCAATTTGAGTAATCTGAGTAATCTCGTTTCAATTTTATCAGATATTCGTCAAAATGACTATTAAAAGTGATTTGTATAAACATCTAAATAATATACACCTAACGCTGTAATAGCTAACAAGCATTTTATGACATAAATTTGTTTTGTGTGAAAATTTTGTAACTTCTTAAAAAGATCAAACATTTTATTAATACAATGGAACTTCGATAACTCTAACTACGATGTGTCATGTAAAGAGTTCGAGCTGTTGAATTACTCATTTTAAAAAAGAACTCAAATAATTTTGATCAAATCAAATATGCAGTTATGATTTATGTAGTCAAATATAGAAAATTACAGTACAGTCGATATATCAAAATAATACTCTTTCTATTATTTATTAATGACATATCCAACGTCATAACCTGCAACAAACTGCTATTCGTAGATGATCTCAAAATCTTTTTAGAAATCAAATGTATTGAAAGATGTCATCGAATTCAAGATAACATCAATAGTTTGCTTCTATGGTGTGAGAAAAACAAATTAACATTTAATATTGTGGTGACCGAATTTATATCAAAATTTTCGCGCTGAAATTAATTAACAGCGGCGCGAAATCACACTTCAATAATTTGAATTTGAAACAAAAAAAATTCAAACAAAAATCGTTAAACATAGGCAACCAAATATGCATGTAGTGCCCCAGGCCCCAAGGTAGTTCTGCATGTTTTAGTTAGAGGGCGGTTTGGTAAACAGAGGGCAGCATGGCGGAGCGTCAGTCTGAATGTGTTTTTGTGAATGTAAACACGTGGTAAGAGCTAGTTTAAATTAGCTGGTTTGGTATTTAATAAAAGGAGGAAGCCTTTGTTTAACGACAATCACTCCTAACGCCGTCAGCGTTCAGTTGTTCCCAACCTGCGCGGCTAATTCTTGCATCCTTTTAATCGGAAAAAGTGCGGACTTCTGTTCAACGCGAAACACGTGTTGTAAATTTGTTTTATTGTTTGTAAATTCACCAATCAAGTTAGTTTTTCTTAATCGTCAGCTAGTGCAAACACAATTTAACAATTAGGATTATTTAAATAAACCACTTGCTAGAAGATTTCATGAAATTCACTTAGTCAGGAAAACACCTTGTTGTTTAATTATGAATAGGTTTCTGGATGCATATACGGAAGTGTTATATGATAACACTTATTATCATCGTTATCATGATCACATCACTGGGGCATGTCCTCACCACGTTAAACGTTGATTACATCATCGAGGCTTGCCCTCCCAACGCTACAGATTGATTACTTCATCGAGGCATGTTCTCGCAACGCTAGAGATTGATAACACCAACGAGGCTTATTCCTCGCAACGCCAAAATAACACCATCAAGATATTTCCTTGCAACTATAAAAATTTACATCACCGAGACGCATTTTCCTCGCAACGATGATTGGATATTTTTGTGTCTGTTTATTATTCGTTTTGTTTGGGTAACAAGTTCGAGATATTCTAAACTCTCAAAGTAAATTGCTTTTTTTGGTAACCAACAGTGGCGGCTCGTGACTATTTTGGTTGGGTCGGCCAGCAGTGAGTAACCCAAAGTTTTAAGACATAGAATACAAGAACCAGGGACCTCAAGTTATTCATTATCTATAATTTGCTACCTGTATGGTGTTAATTCATATAGTCCTAACAACTTGGTAAAACAAAATAAAAAATATTCTTCAAATAGGTATAAAGTAAAGCATATACTTATACAATATAAGCCATCTATAATAATAAAATAACGACAATAAACTCAAATAAAAATGAAAATAACATTCAAATTATAAAGTAACACATTCTAACAAAAAATATAACATGAAACGTCAACAACTATTTATTAATAAAAAACAAAATTAGAAAAGTAAATTAGAAATTTTTATAAACCAATTCAATGCGTCTTTGTTTTGTATCGGCAAAGTGGTCAATTACTTGATTATAGAACTTTTGATCTTCCGTTAAGTTTGTAAGCACTTCTTTTTCTATTGCTAAAACGAATAATTTGGATAATCGATTTTGACTAATGGAGTTTCTAGTAAAATTTGTAATTCGCTTTAAAGCTGAAAAACTGCGTTCAACATATGCTGATGTGGATGGTATATGATTAAAATTAAAGACAGAAATAATTTCGGAGGCTTCTACATTTTCGTAAGTAGCATCATCAGGAGCAGGGTTGAGAAATTAGGAAGATGGCAAAAGTGCACGGTAACTCAATATGTCAATCGTACCAGAGGACCAGAGGCAAAACTCTTTTTCTGAAGTTTTTTTGAATTTATTGTCAACATCATATCCAAAAATTAAACAATACCAACAAAATAGTTTGTTTTTTGACTTGCTCCCCGTCAGCTATTCATAATTTTCATACCATGCTGTATTAATTATTAATTATTAATATGCTATTGCACCGGAGCTGACGTTATTATTGCTCCGTGCTTCGATTAAATGTTGCATGCGCGGCTCCGAACGGCCCATTTCTTTTATATCGAAGGAATTGATCATCGTAGGTTAAAAGTCGAAAGTCATTGTTTAATAGATGTGTAACAGTATCAAAATTTAAATCAGTTACTAATTCTCTTACTAACTGTTGTCATTGTTACTGAAATTAGAAACAAACCTAAACCAATTTTATCCACGTGAAGACTGCAGAAATTCACAATATACAGATAGCGGCCGGCCGGTGCTGGTAGTGGGGAACCGCATGGAAAAGTGCACGGCAGAAGTGCAGTGATGAAACGCAATATTGTACGGTTTCGTCGCTATTGCATTCTAACTTATACAAACAGAAGGTGATAGCGCTATAACAACTTGATGTACTGCCAAAAGGCCGGCCGATTTTACCAGATTTTTGACCAATCACTGCTGCAGTCGCGTTAATCAGAGTGTATCAGACACGTATCAGTCTTTATAGCTATTTCTCTTTAATTCTGCTAAACAGAGAGCGATAGCAGATATGACATTATTCGACGTTTATTCTTGTTGTCGGCCGGCCTCAGCTACTGCTCCTCGCAGTAAAAATATTCAAACTTTCCGGCACGATTTGTGCTTCCGAACGAAAGTGAATAAATTAGATAACGCTTTTTGTAATTAAAAAAATAATAACAACAGTAAAATCAGGTGATTTCAAAATAGCTTTAAATTATATTCTTGCGTTTAAAATAAAAATGAATATCGCAAATTGACAAGTTCGGTGACAGACTCGGCCTGGCCTAACTGCCCCCCCCTGACGAGCCGCCACTGGTAACCAATCACTTAGATCATGATATAATTGGACATAATGGAAACTCTTTGTTTGAATCGTTGATAAAGTGTGACAAATATTAATCACACGTAAATTTTGTTAACTTTGCAAATTTTCACCTCATACAATCAAATCTGCTGGAAAATAATGATAAGAAAAAGCTTCCACATTACGGGATTTGCATTTTCTAATACAACAACTTCTTACTGAAGGCATTTTTCTTTCCAAAATTAATGACTACCAAAATTAATTTTTGAAAGTTCGTTGACAGCAATATTTTGAAATTTGTTGAAATAACATACTTTAATCCTGTTTTATTAAAATTAGCCTATGTAACCAACATTACACATGGATAATGATTGAGCCTATGTAAATTATGTAATAATTCTCATAGATGGAGATCCATTACTCCCGATTTACGTCATTTAACATAAACAGACATTTTACCGATGCGGCGGGCCGGATAGACTGAAAGTCTATCTTTCCATCAAGGAGGCCGTCTCACTGTTATTTCCAGTGACAATGTATTTTTATGTTTAATAAATTTTATATTGTATTTCAGTTTTTATATCCATACCCCTTTCCACGTGAACATTTATTCAATATTCTGAATTAAATAAATACTAAACATTGAAAATAAATTCATTGTGATAACCCAAACTTTCCGCCTTTAAATTGACCTCGAAACAGTTTGAAAGGCCCGCGAAAAATTCAAAAATTCAAAGTTTGGCCTTGGCTGTGATTGTCTAACAAATGAGAACCTACGTTGTGTGTTTTTTTTTTTTGAAAAATGGCGGGAAGACGTTCTTTCATACAAGTGCATACACTGTCGAGAGCGCAAGAAACGATAGACAAAATTAGGTAGGTCAAAAGCCTTCCTAAGGAGGAAAAAGAAACGAAGAACGACAGAGGCTCAACTTGCCCTTGTGGCGAGTCCGCAGGGTCAAGGTGTCAGCGGTCTTCATTCCCCAAAACCCCCTGGGGTCTTATTCACCGACATATTACATTTCAAACACCTTAAGATATATGAAAGAAAAACACTCGCGAATTGACAGACATATACATACGAAAACCGAACAAACACAAAAAACTACACATATGTAAATTGGATGGCAGAACCCGAATCATTATGAGAGTATGGCGATCGAACAAAATATAGAACAAAATATATCAATTTCATTTATGAGCACAGCAAAATACCCAGAGGGGGCGTCGTAGTGCAAGTAGAGGTTGGGACTCCTGATCGTCACTGTTCTCCCCCACGACGGTGATTCTATCTACACCAAAGCCTGCTCACACGCACATCTCCATTACGAACGTGCTCTGCGAAACTAGGCGGTTACGATCGCAGATCCGTAGTTGGGTCCCGGCTATGTACAGAAGCCGACAGCGTTAAAAACCCGCGATCGCCCCCTGACGATATACAAACCCGCGGACTTGTGCAGGTGACGCGATTAATCCCGTCAGTTTGAGAAGGAGTCGCGCGCTCCACGTACACTACGAGTTATGTGTTATTTACCTTCAATTTCATTTAAATGTTCAATCTCTATGACTCTAATATTAAATTACAACCGAACAAGTGTTAAAGTTCCAACAAAGAGCAATACACAAC